CCAGAACTCCATGACACTGCTCTCCATCAAAAAATTATAGTCATCATGAATTCTGAACTCATACTGCAAGCAGGAAGAAATGACTTTGAAAACTTCCAGCTGTAAAATTTAGAGCTGAGTATAAAAAGTAAGAGCAGAGTGCCATGGGAAAAAATTATAGAATATCTCTTTCCGTGTAAGATTTGTAAACAATAGGTAGAAATGATTCAGCGATCTAATCCAAATTATGCCACATGGAAGTGAGCCTCACTGAATCAACGATACTTTCATGCAATTAAGACCCTATTAATTTACAGCTCATTACATGTAATGTAATAAGGAAGAAAGTGCTCTTGAACATGTGCAGAGTATCAGGCCTCCTGAAGGAAGCACAGCCTGTCCTCTGGGATTAGAAGTCAAGGTTTTCAGTACAGATGATGAGATTTACAAGCAGGTTTCAACTATAGCATCTTTTAAGCACTTATGTGAAGTGATTAAGAGCAGGGTGTTAGCCAAATGGACCTCTCTACAATGCTAGGAAATTTATTTTGAGACACTCCAAAATAACTCCCTGAAAGACCTGTAGAACTCTCTTCTGAAATTTTCAGAGGAAAAGTAGAAATAAGTGCTCATACAAAATGAGAAATGGAACAAGGTGGCCAAGCGCCAAGCACAGTGGTAGCAGAAGGGCAGCATGTGGTTTTGGCAACACATCATAATCCTGAGTTCTTCTGCACATGTTGGGTCACTCCTCTCCAGAGGAGTCCTAGAGCAGAAAACTGCAGACCAAGCCAAATTTACCCATTACAGTGGTGATGCATGCAAAAGCAGTGACAAATCTCAGAACATCTCCCTCATTTTCTCATGAAATGCATGCTGAATGTTTCAGCTGAGCTGCCAGAGGCAAAAGGTTAACTAACCATCCAAGTAGCTGCAATTTTGCATGTCTCTGTTTCGTGCAACCATTTGCTAAAAATCACCACTACTTGTCAGCTGAAACCTAAACTAAAGCTAAGTTCATCACTATGCGGATGATATCCAGCTCTACCTCTCCTTTAATCAGAACCAGTGAGGGCAGTGAAGGTCCTGTGTGAGTGTCTGGAGGTGGTTGGAGGATGGATGGTGGCTAACAGATTGAGGTTGAATCCTGACAAGACAGAAGTACTGTTCCTGGGGGACAGGGGGTGGGCTGGTGTGGAGGACTCCTTGGTCCTGAATGGGGAAACTGTGCCCCTGAAGGAGCAGGTATGCAGACTGGGAGTCATTTTGGACTCACAGCTGTCCATGGAGGTGCAGGTCAATTCTGTGTCCAGGGCAGCTGTCTACCAGCTCCATCTGGTACACAAGCTGAGACCCTACCTGCCCACGGACTGTCTCGCCAGAGTGGTGCATGCTCTGGTTATCTCCCACTTGGACTACTGTAATGCGCACTACATGGGGCTACCTTTTGAAGGTGACTTGGAAACTGCAATTAATCCAAAATGCGGCAGCTAGACTAGCGACTGGGAGCGGCGCCAAGACCCTATAACACCGGTCCTGAAGACCTAAATTGCCTCCCAGTACATTTCCGAGAACAATTCGAAGTGTTGGTGCTGACCTTTAAAGCCCTAAACGGCCTTGGCCCTGTATACCTGAAGGAGCATCTCCACCTCCACTGTTCAGCCTGGACACTGAGGTCCAGCGCCAAGGACCTTCTGGCGGTTCCCTCATTGCAAGAAGTGAGGTTACAGGGAACCAGGCAGAGGGCCTTCTCGGTAGTGGCGCCTGCCCTGTGGAATGCACTCCCATCAGATGTCAAGGAAATAAGCAATTATCATACTTTTAGAAGACATCTGAAGGCAGCCCTGTTTAGGGAAGTTTTTAATGTTTAATGCTGCATCATGTTTTTAATATTCGGTTGGAAGTCGCCCTGAGTGGCTGGGGAAACCCAGACAGATGGGCGGGGTATAAATAATAAATTATTATTATTATTATTACTAAGTTTCCCTGCATCCTTGTTAACCACTCCAGCTTCAGACTGGAAAGTATAAAACTCACACAACTTCCTATTTTCCTATCCATTTCTGATGTCAAGATCCCTGACTTCACGTTTTGATGAGTTTTCCTTTTCTGATGGTTGTTTCTGACCTGGATAGAAGATCAAGCCAGGAGCATGTGGAGGACATTGCCGTAACAGGCAGAGTACATTTATTGAAAGATGACAGCTTTACATGTCTTGAGGTCACAGGCTTTGACTGTGATCTTTAAAGTGCTCTTAATGGGCAAATGTCATAAAGTCCACTTCACAGATCAGAAAACCCAGATTTGCCCAGGTGTGTTCACTGGGAGAGCTGTGCCCAAATCTGGTTCCATGATGCCTGTACTGCACTGTAAATAATGCAAGTGTTACTGCATTCATACTTTATATTTAACAATGTATCTATGAAACACATTTTCACTGGTATTTTGTAAAGCACCAGGGGACTTGAACCAGAGGAAGCTGGGTCCAAGGCAGCAGAATGCAGAAGCATTATTTCCTGCCGTTCTCAGGCCAGGAAAAGTTAACAGAGTTGCATTTGCTGTGAAGTAGTGCCATCCATGGGACACGAGTGGCACTGTGGGTTAAACCACAGAGCCTAGGACTTGCCGATCAGAAGGTCGGTGGTTCGAATCCCCGCGACGGAGTGAGCTCCCATTGCTTGGTCCTGCCAACCTAGCAGTTCAAAAGCACATCAAGTGCAAGTAGATAAATAGGTACCGCTCCAGCGGGAAGGTAAACGGCATTTCCATGCACTGCTCTGCTTCTCCAGAAGTAGCTTAGTCATGCTGGCCACATGACCCGGAAGCTGTACGCCGGCTCCCTCGGCCAATAGAGCGAGATGAGCGTTGCAATCCCAGAGTCGGTCACGACTGGACCTAATGGTCAGGGGTCCCTTTACCTTTACTAGTGCCACCCATGCAATGGCCATGGTGGGTACTGTGTCTCCTCATTCCAGTTGGAAGAAGTGGCTTGCAGAACCAACAGGGGCCTGGTTAGGAGCATCAGAAGCTGCCTTTGACTGAATCAGACCATTGGTCCATCTAGCTCAACACTGTCTACAAGGACTGGCAGCAGCTTTCCAGAGTTTCAGACAAGAGTCATTCCCAAGCCTACCAGGAAAAACCTCAGCATGCAAGCAAATGCTCCTTCCCATGCTTGTCACTATGCAACTGCTGCTCTGGGCTTGGTTTCTCAGTCTGAGCCTTTTGCCTTTGGGAAAGGCTGCTAAACAGCCTAACTGAACCTAGATGCTTCTTATTTAGCTGTTTTCAGACCATGGTCCATTTTGGACCAGGTCCTTGGACCCGAAGGTCCTTGTTTCTTTGCCCTGACCTCTGACCACAGTCTGTCCTTGCTGCTTGCCTATGCCTCACCGGCTCCTGATAGTTTAGCAAGATGTAAATGTGTTTAATGTGTAAAATTAATAACAAGTGGTATCTTTAATTAGTATACAGGTGCAATCTTCACATCTTGCCGTCTGCAGGAATAATTAGTTTCATGGAACAAAGTTGTTACGTTAGAACTTCTCTCAATTTTCCCCCCCTCTGGATGTTCGCACTCAAATCATTTCATGTGAAGAAATTAACCTCCAAATGCCTTTTTCCATTTGCCATTGTTAGTGGGAACTGAATTCAAGAATAAGAAAACTCTTGCAAATAACGCTGACTGTTTTAAAATTATCTCATTAATGTTCAAGGCTGCCTACTCATCTTTTTCTAACTGTAAAAACAAGTTCCTGATTGTGGAGTTTTAATATCTGTCTAAAAAAAAACAGTCAAAAATGTGTCAGCAGCAAAGGAGCACTGAATGCAGCTGGCCTAATATACAAAGTATATGATTGTGTGTGATTAACAAAATTGTGCCTTCATGACTGGCTAATTTATTTAAGGCTTTCATCTCAGCAAATGCTCAGAGGCTTGAAGATTCTTCTCCAGCCAGAAGAGTCTGAATGTAGGGTTGTCCTGTCACCTTCCACAACCAAATACTGTGGGGTAACTCTTTAACTGCCTATTTCCTGTTAATTGCTGTCTTCCCTGTATTCCACTTTAATGCTACATGCTCCCTCCAGGAACAGGTAGAAAAGCATGGAGTAGCTGGAAGATGTGCAAAGGAGGTGACCAGGATGATAAATGGTCTGAAAACCAAGCCTTATGAGGAACAGTTGAAGGAGTTGGGTATATTCAGCTTGGAGAACAGAAAATTGAGAGGAGATTTGATTGGCAGCCATCTTCAAATCTCTGAAGGACTGTCACATGGAAAATGGAGCAAGCTCGTTTTCTGCTGCTCCAGAGGGTAGGATCTGAACCAATGTATTCAAATTACAAGAAAGGAGATTCTGAAGTTTCTGATGGGAAGAGCTGTTCAACAGTGGGGTGGACTACCTCAGAAGGTGGTGGACTCTCACTCCTCTGTTGGAGGTTTTTAATGACAGATTGGATGGGCCTCTATCAGGGATTATTTAGCTGGGATTCCTGCATTGTAGGAGGTTGGATGGGATGGTTCCTTCCAACTCTAGAGTTCTATGATTCTATGACACCTGTCGAAACATGGTACATCATATTATTCCCCCCCCCCCAAGATGGAACCATGACAGAAGAAAACCAAAAGGAAGGTGCCCATAAAAGTACTTTATAACAAACAAGCTCCCTGAGGCAGAATATTGTCATCATCCTATGCTGATGAAAACAAAAATGAACTGGCTGCTAATTAGCTACTGGGCATAGGAACCAACTCCTAGGGGCCACAGGGGTTTCACCCCCACAATAAAATATTTGAGAGGGTCGGGCCCCCACAAAGTTGATGGGCATTCCCATTCAAATGGTGTGTGTGCATGTGCCATGCGATTACGTAGGGCAGGGCTTACCTTGGCTCCCACAATATTTTATTCAAGTTGGCACCCTTGCTACTGGCCTAGGTTTAAGGTAGAATCAGAGAATTGCAAAGTTGGAAGGGACCCATGACAGTCATCTGGTCTCCAGCTCCCTGCTATACAGGAATCTTTTGCTCCACATGAGGCTTGAACCCACGGCCTTGGGATTAAGAGTCTCATGTTCTACTGATTGAGCTACCCCAGGTGCTGTTATTGGTGCACAAAACTGCCATACAAAATGCTACACAGCTTGGGACCAGCATATCTAAAAGGGTGCCTCATCCACTGCATCCCCAACCAATCACAGTGTTCTGCAAGACAGGGCATCCTGAAGATTCCATCCTATCAAGAGGACCAGCAACTACCCTCTGGAACTGCCTGCCACTTCATAACAGACAGGCACCTTCTCTATTGTGTCTATTGCACCTCCCAATACTCTAACCACTATGCCACACTGGCTCCCCTTATATCTTTTTTTTAATGCCATGCTTCATCATATTTAACGATATTAGACAACAAAATGCATATCTTTATGATTCCTATAGAAACTCAGTCCGTCATTAGCAATTCTTGTGTCATTAAAAAACAAAAACAAACAAAATAATCCTGATAGAACAGTAGACATTTGTGGCTTGCTGCTGCTACTGCAGCAGCAGCTATATAGTAAGGATCACATTAAATATGCTTAGGGGGTCCTCTGCAGCCATTCTGGCACCATTTGTGTTTTGCACAATGCCTCCAGTTTTTCTATTTAACTCAAATCATTTATCAATCATTCCCCAACACCAATAAATCTCCACACCTGGGGACCCTTAAATATAAAAATAAGAAGCTGTTTTAAAAAAAAAAAATTAGTGCAGCAATTAAAGAGGAAAGGGGCAATAAACCCAACTCGCAGTGTACATTTAGAAAGCTCTCCCAAAATGAAGTAAACATTGAGGAGCAAGAATATGAAAAGGGCTTTCAGAATTTCCAACAGCTACTATCCCGTGCAAAATAATAATAATAATAAAATCATTGTAACCATTTTTTGTGTGTAGACAGTTCTGAGTAAATGGACAATATGAAAATGAAAGCAAAGAGGAAGAAAGAGAGGCTTAAAATTAAATTCAACCCTAGCCCCTTTCCATAGTGTTACAATAAATTATTGGTAAATGTTTGCCATTAAAGAAGTGCAAATCTCTAGTGTTTAAGATTAATTTAAACAGAGTGCAATCCAAGCATAATACTCAGTGCATAAAATTCCCCTCTCATGAGTCTTGTCTCTGATGTGTTTATGGTCTCTGGAGCAGCAGTAATTAACGATTTAAAAAAAAACACCAAAAACCACAGGAGCAGAGTTTGGTGCGTTGCAGAATTCCAAAATAAAAGTCATATAACCAGGCTGCGACAAACATTAGCTGTACCCATACCCAGAGCTGGGACTGGGATTTTCCAAAAGAGAGTCACTGGCGCTTCCTGCAGAAACTTGGGACTGGAGTCTAATGTGCAGAGGGCAGGTGGCAGTGCTCTAGGCTAATCCCAAGGCTTCATACAGTCTGCCAATCACAGGCACTGATGTTGCACATCACTGTCCCCATCTGTGCCTGGAAAAGAAGCCTGAGCACTCACGGAGGACAGCTCCCTAGGCTAAGAATAGGCTCAGCCTTGAAGCCCTGGAGTCTCTAACATCAATCAATGTCAACGGAAGGGCATGTACAGAGCATGTACTTGGCAAGCAGAAGGCTCTATATCCCAAACTTGTCATCTCCATGTAAAATAGGTGATGGGAAATACATCTTACCTGAGACCCTGGAAAGCTGCTGCCCATCAAAAGAGACAAGGGGAGAAACAGTCCAAGCTGATACAAGGCAACTCCCTATGTTCCTAATGTAGGATTTAACTTCCTTCTGCAGGGCCTGTAAGACAGAGCTATTCCACCTGGCTTTCAATTTGAACTTAGCCTGATCTTTTATTCCCCTTCCGTCCTTCCCTCTCCCTTCCCTTTTTATGAAGATTACCTGCTTTGGGATCCCACAGCTAATTCTCCCCTGGTCTCCTCGCTGGCACAAATAGGACTAATTTAGCCAGCTAGCCCTGGTGATCATCTAATGTTTATTAGATGGATTTCACCCCTAAATTGATTTTTGAATTCTGAATTTATTGTTATTCACGTTTTATACTGTATTTTATGCTGTTTTTTGTTGCATCAATTAAGTGTTTTAAATTTGTTGTTAGCCACCCTGAGCCCGGTTTTCTGAACCGGGAAGGGTGGGGTATAAATAAAATTATATTATTATTGTTGTTGTTGTTATTATTTCCACAGCAGCACAGATTAAATGAGGTGGGTGGGTGAGGGAATAAAACCCTTCATTTAGAGCAGTGGTTCCCAAACAGCTAAGTACTGAAGACCCCCAGTTTTTCAAAAGTCAGGCCATGAACTTCCTACTTTTTAAATTTGGAAATCTCTATTGTAGTTTTTGTTCTGTGAATGGTGACACAGACCCCCCTGGGTAGGTTATGCAGACCCCTTGGGGTCTACAGACCATGAATTGGGAACCACTGACTTAGAGTATTGTGAGAAGCAACACACCCATTGTCACCAATGGCCATTACACGTGGTTTAAACCATTTTAAACCAAATTCACATATTTGTCCATCCCTAGTCCAAAAGATGATTAATTGTCTGTGATGGAGAAGTGGCGGTGGATGAGGTTGGATGTGAATATAGAAGGTGTGCACAGGCCTCCAATAGCTTCATGAAAGCTCCAGAGAGAGGAGGAAAAACAGGACTCTGTTATACTCTATAGGTATTTCCTATAGGCAACGGCACAGCACTCACACAGGGAAGAATTGTGCCTAAAGAAAAATGGATAATTGGCTTATTGGGGATGCTATTGCACTGTTGTTAAAGAAAAAAATCCACAAAAAATTGTATTATTTGTAATATTACTATTGAATTATTAAAATGGGTCAGTGGATCCTCTGGAAATTCCCTTCCTATTAATTTTTTGTCATGCAAAATGTTAGTATAGTGGTACCTCGGGTTACATACGCTTCAGGTTACAGACTCCGCTAACCCAGAAATAGTGCTTCAGGTTAAGAACTTTGCTTCAGGATGAGAACACAAATCGTCCTCTGGCAGCGCAGCGGCAGCAGGAGGCCTCCATTAGCTGAAGTGATGCTTCAGGTTAAGAACAGTTTCAGCTTAAGAACGGACCTCCGGAACGAATTAAGTACTTAACCCGAGGTACCACTGTAGTTGCATTCTCACTATGAAGCATTCCAATGGTGCACCTAAAATAGAAGAAAAAAATGCACTGCGCTGTTTTCTAATGGCAAAGCAGCAAAGCTCTGCTGTCTGAGGCAGGAGGCTCATCAAAGCCCTCCATTCAGCAAAGCATTCGCCTGTGCCAAATGCAGGTAGGGCCAATATTACCAAGAAACAGGGCCAATAAACCTTATGTGTTATACAGTTTGGAAACAGTAGAGATATGCAGAGGTCTCTTTCTGCAACTCCGTTGCTGTTTATGATCTGCAGAATCACTGAAATCGTAGCAAGACCACAAACCCGCGGGAATTGTGAACATCTGATACAAAACGACAGGTTGCACAGACATTTCTAAGCAGAATTCATAGGGTCGGATCTTTTGCCAAACCAAACGAACCATTGCAAACCACCACTAATGGTGTCAGAATGCCACTCACTGAAATTGTGCATTAAGAACCCCCACAAAGCATTATGAGGATATTCTCCTAGGACACGTTTTATGGCTGATATTCGGAACCAGGATCTGGCCTCGGGTTTCCATCCATATGTAATACATAAACATGTACCAGAGTGATACTCAAATACTTGAGTGGCCAATCTCACCTTGAAAAAAATCGCAACAGTTGCCACTAAACTTCTACTGTGTAATTCTTTGCAAAATATAAGGCTCAAAAGGAAAACTACACCTGGGCTGGGTTAGGCTCGGCCCAATTTTATATTTGCAAAAATAACACTAAACAGGGGTGAGTAACTAATTCAACACAGAGGGCTATACTGGAATTATTTGCCATGAAGATTCCATCTGGAATAATGAGGACTGTAAGCTTGAAAATAAATCAAGAGAACTAATATCCTCAGGATTCAAACAAGGCATTGAAAGCAGTAGTTTTCACTCCAACACCTGGTGGAGGTGAGTGTTTTACCCCAAGGTGGCAAATGCAGCTGTTTACACAGGCAGTTCCTTGACCTCCTTATCCGTCCATCCCGTTTTAATTGTTTTGGTGAATATTTTAATTATGGATGCTTATATACCTGAATGCATTTTATACTTGTAAACCACTTAGAACAACATGGAGACAAATGCTACACCTGAACCCTCTTTATATTGAGGATGCTGAGACTAGAAACATCGGGGGAAATCTTGTTGAGCAGAAGGCCATTTGTAGTAAAGGAATAGCGAAGGAAAGAGCCATCTTGCTATGTTCTTCCTCTGCTCCAGTATTGGCTGCCACAGCACGATCAGTGCCCATTAAGGATGGAGGAAAATTAGATTCAGTTCACATTTAAAGATGAATTTACCTAATTTGCATTTTCCAAAATGATATGCAAATCAAAATACAGCCATCCTCCAAGATCCACACATCTCTGAACGTTGCAGTGCTGCTCTCAAGCGAGGTAATGTGTACGAAAATGCACCCATGAGGTTAAAGGGTGCCTAGAAATATACTGGTGAATATAACATACAAAAAATACCAGTTGGCAAAAAAAGAAGAAGCCATGTACATTAGGCAAATTTTAAAAAGTTTATAAAAATGCATATAAAAAGGTGCATATTAGGAGCTACAGTTCCAATGGATTTTCACAGTGACTTTTTTATTTCTTACAAAAATGGCAAACTGCAAAAATGCGGAGAACTGAACTTAAGGATGGGGGTGGGCATGTTGGAGAGAAACGAGAAAGCGAGAGAAACCCAAACTGACATGTTCAGTCATCCCTCCTGTCCACTCCCTTTGCCTATTTTCTTTCAGCTTGTGTTTTATTTATTTATTTATTGAAATGAGGCCTTCAGCCGCCCGCTACAGATTACACAGCTATTTTCTGCTACTGTGGAAAACTACCCAAAAGAGGCAGTCTGGTGTCAAGCAACAGTGTTGACTTTGTTTCCCGCTCCTGCTCACCCTGCTACCTTCCAACTCAGACGCTCGGAAACCCACGGAGGGAAGAATGAATGTTTTTATTCTATTCGGGGCTACTCTTGGATGCTGAACATTCCCTCCCCCCTTCACCTTAAGCCAAAGCAGTCATAGATAGCTTATTGAACAAGCTTCTTGCCCACGTCCTGCACACTCCAGCAGAACCCTCTGAAAACACCCACAGGGAATGAATACCTTTTTAAAAAAAGAAGAAGAAGAAGTCTAAAACAGCTGTTGAAATATAATAGGCTTACTCAATTACACAGCGTTCCGATTAACACTGTGCACTTGAAATTTTATTTAGTCCTCTCGTTTCATGGAACTCAGTGGTTTGGAGACAGTTATCCCCAATTTAACAAGCGGTGCAATTTAATATCTATTGTATCTCATTGTGCCAACAGTATCACATTCTGCCGGGGAGCCTGTTACATGCCAGTAGGACGTCCAATCTCCTTTTAATGCTACGTAAGTTGTCATCCTTCGAGGCTGCCCAAAGATGCCCCAGTAAGGATTTGATCTGCTCCGTTTCAAAACAGATCTCTTTCATTCTTGAGCATTTGGAAAAAAGCAAACCGCTGGGGAGGGCAGGTGAGTTTGTGAACAGCCGCCTTCTTTGCTTTGTGTTGCTTGAGCAGTTCTTTTTACGTCACTCTAATCAATCTCATCATTCACACGGGAAGAATTAGCTAAAAGGCTCTTTAACAATGCATGGCTTCTGAAATCACAACACATCCTCTTCCCTTTTTTCAAGGTCCTGAAAAGATTTGCCCGTGCAAATAAATAATTAAAAGCAAATCCAGAAAGGTAAACCAGACAGAAGAGAAGAAGCTCCCCCACATAGCGTCAGAGTGGCTCAGCTTTCACCCCAGGGGGTGGGGAAGAGATGGAAGAGGCAAGTCTGTGCCAAAAGTGGTGAGCTATATAAAGCCCTACATTTATCAATCACATTTGCATCCCGCACCAAGAAGCTCAGGGCAGCTTACATTGGTGCTTTTCTTCCCTTCAACTACCCTCTTAATGCAGGCCATTCCTTATGCTCTGCAGATGCTTCGGAGTGCAATTTCCATCAGCCCCAGATGGCACAGCCAGGCTGTCTTAGTGGCACCAGGTTGGGGAGGCTGGCATAGGCCACAGCCTTTATAGGTACAAGTAAAGGGACCCCTGACCATTAGGTCCAGTCGTGACCGACTCTGGGGTTGTGGCACTCATCTCGCTTTATTGGCCGAGGGAGCCGATGTACAGCTTCCAGGTCATGTGGCCAGCATGACTAAGCCGCTTCTGGCGAACCAGAGCAGCGCACGGAAACGCCATTTACCTTCCCGCCGGAGTGGTGCCTATTTATCTACTTGCACTTTGACGTGCTTTCAAACTGCTATAGATTAGGCCAAAAGCCAAAGGACAAGTGATGCAGGAGACACAGAATGGCAGCTCACAACATTTCTCTGTTTAAAAGTTTTCTATACTCTCTTGTTTCTCCAAAAAGGCTCGAAGCAGCTAATGGACAGTGATAAAAACAGAATCAAACAAACATGATCCTGATAAAACCAAAAAAAGAAAACACCCAATATACACCTAAAGCAATAAACTTGTTGGGATACTGCCAGGGAGACAAAGGCCATCATGCCCCCATGCCGTCTCCGGACGATCCATCGATCTCCCGTAGATACAGTATCAGTCAATTAGCGACATGAGCCTCAGAAATAACATGCCACATTCCAAGGCTGGTGCACGCTCTTTCAGCAGAGTTTGCACAGCGAAAGATGCACTCAGGAGAGCATTATTTACAACTTTATTCAGCGTTGGTCAGAACAAAGAAAACATGACTGCCTGCTTCGATGTCCAGACGCAGAGAGAAAACAACAGCTATATAACAAAACATAAACTTCCTGTGAACAGGAAATACACAGGCTGTGACACAACAACCTGCTCCCTTTTTAAGGTGGAACGGAAATATCATAACGAAACTAACAATATCCAGCCTGTTTAACAACTTCCAGAGCCACAAAGCGTAACACAGAACTGACTCAGAAAATCACTCAGTGAACCCAAGCCCCTTTGAAAAAGCTAGGTCTTTACCAGCTGCCTGAAGCAGTATAGTGATGAGGTATAACAGACCTCTCTCAGCGAGGCATTCCATAGGAAAGGTGCCACCACAGAAAAGGCCCTACCATCTGTTCCAGGGAGGGGGGTAGGAGGTGTTGGCTTTGATGTGTTAGCTTCCCCCTTGTTGTTTCTCCAGCTGAACTCACCCTCCGAAAGTGTTATTATATTGACACCCATCTTTTCTCTCTCTCTCTCTCTCTCTCTCTCTCTCTCTCTCTCTCTCCCAACCAAACAATGTGCATATAAATGCATATGTTAGGGGAAAGTGTGCATAAAAATCATGAAAATAAATGTGCATATCAGGCAAAATGGCATACAAAAATGTGGAGAAATTTGCACTAAAATGCAGGTGAATTTTCATGAGGTCACACACACACACACACACACACACACACAGAAATTATGCAGAAACACAGATAACTGAATTCAAGACCGGGGAAGTGAGAAATAGAGAGAAACCCAAAATGGCATATCTTTCCATCTCTAGCTCAGCGTGCAAAACAGTGCAGTGTGTGCATTAGAGCACATGTACAGCCTTGAGTACCTTGAGGTGATTTTGACTTCAGGCAACTGAGTGGTGAAGCAGGCAGCAGTACAGTTCTGGGAGAGGATGAATGAAATTCAGGTCTGCTCTATACAATACATAGCCAAATGCAAACGCTCTGGAAGCAAGGGTCCCGCAAATGCCCACTGCACATGCCAGTTGTGGTAACTGAGCCACAGTTTGGCCATTTTGTCCCTGTATCAACTGCGCAAGACTAGGCCAATAATATCAGCCGCAACAGCTGGATAGCTCAGTTGGTTATAGTGCAGATAATGCCAATCTGGCATAGGCCATCATCTATCAGCAATGCTTTCTACATAGGAAAACAGGTCCGCCTCCATGCAAAATAATATATGGACACAATTCTAACATCAGAAATGGCAATATTCAGTAACCAGAAGGAGATGATTTTTAGACTGTATATACAATATACAATATATACAATTATACAATTGGATATATTGCAACCAGCTTAAAGGTGTTTCAAAGGGAAACTCCAGCATTAAATTGCTCAATTGCAATGCAGTATATCAGGCCATTCATCCTGATACCTGTGGCTTGAATTGAACTCACTGATGTTTACTTGTTTTTATGACACTACATCTGTTAATTGGCTTAGCAACGCCAGGATACCAAGCTGAAGAACGTAATTATTTTGCTGTTAAATGATCATCACTGTCTGCTCTCTTCTACATTTCATTTGACCTCAGTCACATACAACACACACAGTATGACATTTAAATATGCTTGTCAGGTTATGTTAAACTTTGTGCAACTGATGAAGGGGGCCATGGCCTACAAAAGCTTGTGCCAAAATTAAAAGATTCCTGCTCTGGACGAGAGGACTCTCGTGGTCCCTTCCAACTCTACAGTTCTAGGATTCTATGAAATGTGTTCATCTTTAAAGTGCCACAAGATTCTCTATTGTTTTTCTTGGGAGACAGAGTGGGGAAGAAATGTTACTCAACTAAAACAAGACATCAAAAACATCTAATGCTCACCTTACATGACTCTTTACAAGTGAGTACAAGTGAGAAGGGATGCTACTTTGGGGGATAAACTCATTAATTTCCAGGAGACTTTTGGCTATCAAAGTGATCCAGGTGAATTGTGAGCAGCCTTCTCCACCCCCATCGTTCTGCCCGGATGCTGAGGTCCAGCGCTGAGGGCCTTCTGGCGGTTCCCTCATTGCAAGAAGCAAAGCTACAGGGAACCAGGCAGAGGGCCTTCTCGGTAGTGGCGCCTGCCCTGTGGAATGCCTCCCATCAGATGTCAAAGAGAAAAACAACTACCTGACATTTAGAAGACATCTGAAGGCAGCCCTGTTCAGGGAAGTTTTTAATGTGTGACATTTTAATGTATTTTTAATCTTTGTTGGAAGCCGCCCATAGACTTCCTATATCATATTGGTTTTTGACATCTGCCTAGCAATCCTTGCTCCAGGAAGACTGCAGCATTCAGCAACAAATATTTCCCGCAGTCCCAGATGAGTTTAAAAATATCAGGAGTTTCAGCTGCTTTATTTTGTTTTTGGTTTTTTTGTTTTTTCATTGCAGCAAATGTATGGCGGAGAGAAACTGATAAATTATTGGCATTAGGAATAACAGAATTATAGAATCTTAGAGTTGGAAAGGACCACAAGGGTTCATCTCGTCTAACCCCCCCCCCCCCCACAATGCAGGAATCTCAGCTAAAGCATCCATGACAGATGGCCATCCAACCTCTGCTTAAAAACCTCCAAGGAAGAACATCAACAGAGCAGCACAGATGAGTTGTGTGCTTGCTGATTTCATTTTCTTTCCAGTGGGGTTGGGAAGATCCCGCCAGTTCTGATAACAAGAGACTGAACGGAAAAGCCACACGAGATTTCAGAAGCAGAGCTGCTCTTAAGAGTTAAGACACAAATCACTTTGCAGGTGATTAAATATTTTTAAAAAAATCCTCCTGTACATACTGTTGCTGAGAATGTTTATTTGTCATATCAAATCTGCTCACATTCTGCATTTCACTCAATGAAACAGGCAGCCACACTGTGTGCTTCTAACAGCACAATCCAGTTACTCGTAAACAAGTCCTACCAAGTTCAGAAGGGCTTATTTCCAGTCAATAAACTGGATTCTTTGCTGGCTTTATTACTTGGCTGGGTTTGAGACTACTCTTCTGCATTAAACAAGCCAAAATGGTGGAGGCATTATGAGGACTTCTTAGACTGAATCTGGGGAGACTCAGGTTGAAATTCTCACTCAATCATTTATCTCCCACTGGGTGACTTTGGGCCATTCAGTCTCTCCGCCCCAGATGGATCTACCTCACAGGACTGTTGTAAAAAAAAAAAAAAAAAAAAAAAACAGGGGCAAAGAAGAGAAAAATATGAACCACTCTGAACTCCTTGGAGGAAGTGCAGGATAAAAATACAATAAATACATTTTGGATTGTTATTATTAATACCTATTTTATTAATCTAATTTTTGATTAATAAGACATCCAGTCTCTATCGTGTGGCAAGTCATTTTGATGTTAAGTACTGTGGGACTATGAGACTGTGAAGGCTTTCACAATTATAAAGTGCTGCTTCACGCATTATTTTTACCCTCCTAGGTGTACAACTAAGGGTTTGTTTTTTAAAAAAAGTGTACTCCCTAAAAACGTAAAGTGAGAACGTATCTAGGATGTGACCAAAAAAAGCTTGCCAAAACTCATCTAGCCCACTGGCCAGGATCCTTTCCTCCTGAACCACGTAGGAACAAATGATACTGCCAGAGACAGTTTTGAATGCTAAGGGCCTTGGGCCACAGGGGAAGTTTCTGTCAATTCTTTCTGTGGAAGGATGTGGCCTAGGAAGAGGAGAAAGGAATACTGGAAGCGAATGCTATGCAGATGGCCATCGCACAAGGTGTCAAGCTCACAGGGAGAGCCTACGTGTGCTTGACAAGACAGCCCCTCCGCACGCATTCCTCCAAGATGTTGAGTTGCATGGAGACTAATGCTTGCCAAGGAAGGCAGAGAAGCAACACTAGCTTTCTGGCCACTTAGGTTGCATTCACACAGCAGTGTATTCCACTTCCCCGATGTTTCCCTAACTGCTTATTTCTGCATGATATTTGAGTTTTCACGTGAAGCAAAAGCCACTTCCAGAAAAGTAATACAGTGGTACCTTGGGTTACATACGCTTCAGGTTACATACGCTTCAGGTTATAGACTCTGCTAATCCAGAAATAGTACCTTGGGTTAAGAACTTTGCTTCAGGATGAGAACAGAAATTGTGCGGCGGTGGCACGGCAGCAGCAGGAGGCCCCATTAGCGAAAATGGTGCTTCAGGTTAAGAACAGTTTCAGGTTAAGAACGGACCTCTGGAACGAATTAAGTACTTAACCTGAGGTACCACTGTACTGTGTATTCTAAGTGCTCATTTTTGTGTTATTTAATTCTGGAGGGGAAGGATCAATTTGCAGGCCCCTTAACCTGGAAACACACAAAAGTAAAGTGATAAAATTTGGGGGACAGTATAATAGCATACAAGCCTTCCCTGATGCTTTTGTGGAGAAATCACAGGAGAAGCGGTGTGAATGAAGTTTAGTGTATTATTCCCCATGTCTGAATGCACCCTTACTGAGAGCAGTGAGGTGGTAGGAAGGTCACTACAGTTCTCGTACACTGATGGGAGCATGGATGGGCTCCACCTGTGTATCTACAAGGTGTAGATACTTCTGACACCTTCTGCTTCCCCTCTTCTTCCAAATAAGTGGAAGCAATGCAGCCGCTAGGAAGATAGTCTAGATACTCAAACACCCCACCCCACACTTCTGAATGACTGAGGTGGGTTTGTGCTCCTGTCACCTCCGTGGGATTTCAGTTCACGTTAACTAGTTGTGGCTGATCAGATTAATCACCAACAGTTTCTCAGATATTAGTTTCTACAAGCAACTTCTGAAATGAAAGTGACAGCAACACACACACACACACCATCTGCAATATCCAGCCACCCTGTCAAATTGGTATGTTATGCGCTTACATGCTAATGTGAGCACTCAGCTGCAGGAAATCAAATGTCCTTTTAAACTGTGCATATGGGGGGAAATTGACAACAAAGGCTGCAAGTATAAATATACTAGCTGTCGAGGCTATTATAGCACAATATGGTGTGTAGGTGCTGTAAAGGCTAGTGCCCTGGTTTGGGTATACGATTCAAGCAATAAATAATTCTTCAGCAACTGAGGGCAGATTTCTCCTCACAAACACATTTTTGTATGCAGTTTTGACTAACACACACATTTTTTGAAAGCAATTTTTCCTAATATAAGGCATCTCAGTGATATAATGCATTTTGAATGTTAGTTTTGCTAATATATCCAATTTCACACACACTTTCGCCTAATCTATGCATTTTTAGAACATGGTTAGTTGGAGAACTACATTGCAAAACAAGTATAAGGGCAACTTCTGAAGGGTGGCTGTTCTCTGTTCTCCTGTGGCTTTGGAAAGTGTACATTTGACGAATTTGAATTTAAATGTGAACTGAATCTGATTTGTCCCCTACCCGGAACCTATCAAGAGAAGTCACTCTGAGCATGTGGAGACTGCATCTCCTCTCTTTTCCCCCTCCCACACAATTATAATTGAAGACCCAGGCTCACAGGGAATAGGACATGTAGTGGTTCACAACAGCTTGACCTCTTATAAGTGTGGCCCACTCTCCTTTGCTAACATAATGTGTATTCAGAGAGCAGAGTCCATCTCCACAGTAATGTGTTTAGCATTAATCAATTCATTAATTGTTCGATAATCCCAGCCACCAAGAAGATTTTCTAAGTGCCTTGCAAAAAAAGCAAAACAAAACACATAGCATCATTCCATATTTAAAAATACAAAAAGTAAACCAAATCAATAAAAATAACAATATTAAACATTCCACAGTGGGGACAGACTAAGCAATCTGCAGCTCATCTTAAAAGAATGTGTTCATACATTTTCATTTTTAAGGCTTTAAGGTACCAAAGGTATCTGTTTTAAGGTATCTGTTTTGAAATATATATTTACCCCGGCTTCCCCTAACCCCAATAATACCTTTTCTAGTCCTTCCTCACTGAAATGCCTGCTCACAGTTTTTATCCCTTACTGTGTGTGCTCTTCATTGTGCCAGGATTCTGGGACTCTGCCTGGGAATCTGTTTTTAATTCTTTGAAGGAATGCAGAGTTTCCCACTACAAAAAAATCTGCTTTAGGTTCCCCTTACCTCCTTTCTTCTCCTCCACCACCCGCCTCCCACTCCCACACACCTCCGATTCTTGAACTGTTCTTGCAGATAAGACACAACAAATCTAAGTACATTAATATTGCCATTTGGTATATGTGGGTTTTCAACCGTGTGGCTCGTTCTGACAGCATGGCTGACAATTTCTCACTAACTGTGTCTAACTTGGATGACAAGGTATAAGGCTGCAATTCATTAACAAGCAGCAAAGTTGTGTTTTTGTTGAGATAACAGTAATATATTTTTTAAGGTTGATGTACACAGCAGGAACTGAATGACACATCCCATTAGAGAACAGGAAACAATGGGTTTACTCGTACTGCATTTACCGTATACTCCACCTTTCTTCCATGAAGCAAAAGGCGACATGCGCCATTCCTTCCCCTTCTATTTCATTAGAACAACAACCCAGTGAGGTAGGATGGGCTGAGAGGAAATGATTAATCCAAGGTCAGCTTCATGGCTGAGTAGGGATTTCAGTCAAGCTCCCCCCCACCCATTGTTGTGTCTTGTATCCACCAATATATGCTTTTTAAGCACATTTTATCCTAGCTTATGCATTTTGTACTCATTACTTGGCTGAAAAACTGCACAGTAAAATTAGAAGTGAGAATTTCAAAGGATGACTGTGTTTCAGTTTGTGTATTGCTTTGGAAGGTGTGAATTAGGTAGGTTAACTTTTAACTGCAAACTGCGATTGATTGCATATCCCTACTCATAGTCCAACACAGTCTAATCAAAGTATTAGGGAGATCTGTGTGTGTTTGTTTCAAAGGCAAATATGTACAGTGCATCAGGTCAAAAAGGCACTTCCAATACAGCAAACGCTTTCATCCATTTCAGGAACAGATGGGAGGGAGAACAATCAAAGTGACTTTGTGTCAGCTAAACTGACTCATTTGGTTGCTTCCCAGAATATCACTTGTGCATGCTGCTACAGCAATATTTATTCATCACCACCACTGCTGCCCCTTTTCGGAGACGCGAGCTTTTAAAACCAGGAGATGATGCTATAATGTTTGAGAGGCAACGTAAGTCAGCCCGGCATAATATACTATACATCTGGGTGTCTAACCGATATCCTGCCAAAGCCATTGTCTGCCTTCCTGCTGTTGCTTTGAAATGCAGGAGGATGAAGGGTTTAGGAAAGATGGAGCAGGGCAGGTAAATTATACGTCTTCGAAACGAAGCAAAAAGAGAGAGGCAGAATCCAAGGTGCAAGTTTCCCCAGCACCCTCCAGCTGTAAAAACCATTCCAAACCTTTCAGAACTCACCCTTTGCTCAATTGTCAGCGCTGTGGCAGCCTGAGACGGCGAGGGAGGATGGAAAGTTATTTCACAGGCCATGTGGGGAATTCAGATTTCCCTCAGAGCGCACTTTAGAATGTAAAGCCAGCCTTCTCCCAAGAAAGCCTGGCTCTTAAGGCTCCACAATAGCTGAAGAGAAAAAGGTAGGCTCCCTTCTGCCCTAAACCCCAGGGTTTTCCATTCAGCTCCTCAGATGTTTAGCAGTGAAAGGAAATCCCTAGAGTTTTGCCTAATACTGCAGGCCAGAGAAACGAGCACAGCAGAACACTGTTTTCTTGGGCTATATACAGAACAAAGAGACAAGACACCTCACTTTTGTAAGCTTCTACTTGCTGGGTGGAGCATTTTTTCCTACAAATATTAGTGCAAATAAGTTCTTAGCAGGAACTTTTGACTAGAATTTGGGGTAGGAGAATTTCTCTTAAAACATCCCCCACTTCACCACTGCTGTAAGTTTTACACAGACAGAGGCACTTCTCTGGACAGCTGTCAGTTGCTATTTTCATTTCTGACAAGTCCTGACAGAATATTCCTGTGCCAGCATGTTCCATCATTCCTTGGAAACTTTTGGGAGAAATACTAGTGACGGCCACCATTTTCCTCCTGAAGCATCCCAGGAATTAAGCTACATGATAACTCCTGTCTTGTCTTCCCATTATAGTAACTGCGGGAAATAAAAATAGTGGTCACTAGCCAGACTGAGTGCCACTGCTCCCCCTTTGCCTCCTCTTCTATTAAACATTGCCTCTTTTGCTTAGGAGTTGGTGAAACCAGCCCCATCTACGCAGGGTGGTGGGCAGCGCAAAAACCACCTATCAGCCTATGGTGTGTGTGGCATTTATGTGTGTGACAAAGTAATACTGCTGTTGTGGCAAGATCAAACACAGAAGAAACTTCCTGTCCTTATTGCACTGCTGCACAAGGCATTCAATTTTTAAAAAAAACCTTTCTCCTCACCTCGTCCTCACTCTAGATGCTTCAAGTACTTTGGTCACGTAAAATGTGGTAGCTTTTAAACTGGCTATTGCAGTAAAGTGTTTTGATTTTTTCCAGGGCAGGGATGAAGGGTACGCCTCTGCCTCTTTTTGAAGTCTTAGAATGAGGTGGAAATTTGGGGCTAGCCATTTCATGTCAGTACTAATGAATACTGGTATTACTTTACGAAGTTTACTGTTACAAGGATTACTGAGGCTACTGCAAGCAGATCCCGCCTGATAGGTCTGGGAACCTATAGCTGTCTGAAACCCTGGAGAGCCACGGCCAATCAGGGTAAACAATGCTAAGCTAGAAGGACCAATGATCTGACTTGGTGTAAGGTTCAAAATGGAAGACATATTTACTTTTAACAGTAAACATTAAAAGCTCTATTCAGGTGTTCTGTAACTGTCATTGTGCAAGGGAGAATGAGGGTGCATTGGCAAGCCCCACTCCTCTGAGGCACCACATCCTTCCATGAGTTGGAGAGCACGGTTCTGAGCCAGGTGTTAGCAAAGCCACTTAAACAATGCAAATGGAGTCCAGAAAGAAAAGTCCTGATAACAATTTCCTGAGCAAACAGAACAAAAACAGTGTATAATTTGAGGGGGAAAGAATCAAAGAGGCTTTGTGTTTCTTAGTTCAGACTTTGTACATAGCAGAAAAATGCCCGGAGGAAACCTCCCTCCAAACTACACACCTAAGTCAGAGCACTTGTTACCTCATTGAAGATCGTGCCACTCTACCTCATTGCTAAACAACATATCCACCTGTACCCTTCTTGGAACGTTGATGTTATAACATTAACTGGGGGTGGGATTCATTCGTTACATGTGGTTTTTTTGTGGTTCTGTAATTTTGAAATTTATAGAGATTTTAAAACCCCACTAACATAATTATAACCCTTGAGTTACAAACGGAAAGATCCCTGCCACTGCCATTCCAACACGGGGGAGTTTCATTTACTTGCGGGGGTTGCTTCTATGATTTAGAACTTTGTTTATGCCAGTGCGTCCTCACACTCCCTCACACAGTGACAATCCCAAGAGTGAACATAAGGCCCAAATGGGCCTAGAGACATAAAGGAGTTTGTGAGGAAGTCGGAGCACTGACCCTCATCAGTCCCACCTGAAAGACCATTGTTCCTATTTTATCTGCAAGCCACTTAAGTCCCTGTCAGGGGAAAAGGGCGGGCTATAAATAAATAAATATATAATCATAATTGTTTCACTGGTACAAATGCCATATTTAAATTCATTTTGCTTTTTACTCTCCTTTTTTTCAGTAGTGCACAAAGAGAAATGTTGTCGTAAAAATATCTGCAAACCTCACAAAGCAGCCACCTGCTGGAATCCATCCATCTTCAGCCACTGTGAAAAAGAAGGGCTTTATTCTATTAGCAGCAGACATTATAGATGATTACATTTTATTACAGTGACGTTAACTACCTTTTTATTTGCCTTCTGGTAGAATATCAGCAAATCTTGCTCCTCTGTGGTGCTATGGCAGGAATACTCTGAAGATAAAACTGTTAAAGGAGACCCAGTAACCTACTAATAAAGTTATTAATGCATGTCAGAAAAACCTTGGTCACCTGTGGTTTTTATTAAATTCCAAATTGAGGCATCGTCTGGTAATGGGAGTGCTTTTAATATTATCCTCATCCAGAGCAGGGATAAGCCCTCTTTAGATATTAGAAATCTAGGAAAGTAGACACATGATGGGAGGGGGGGCAGCGAGGAGGGTGACTCCCCTCGTCTGCTTTTTCCGTTGCCTTCCAATCCACAAAAGCTGACTGTCTGGAGTGGGAAATGTACTGTATGCATGGAGGCTCCCCGAACATTTTAGAACCCTGATTATTCCTGAGAACCAGTGGTCCTCCAGTTGTCTTTGGACTCCAGCTCCCATCATCCCCAACCAGCATGGCCAATGATCAAGAATGGTGGGACTTGGAGTCCATCTCCAAATGTTTCCTTTTCTCTTTACTTTCCAAAGGTTGAAAGAAAGAAAGAAAAAAACAGATCTGAAGTGTAATAATGAAGAACAATTTGATTTCAAATTAGGAAGAAATACCCAGCAGTCTTAGGTAGAGGTCATGCTCTTCAACATCTTCAGTAATAAATTGGATGAATGTGTGGTTTATTGCTAGTATAAACCTGAGGGGATTAGAGAGTAGACTAATTTAAAGTCAAAATTGTCTTAGAGAACCTGAGAGCAGGAGGCACTGCAATAAAACGAAATTTGCAAGGGACGGATGCAAAGATACACATATGAGCAATGTCCCCTAGGAGGCCCTACTTTACATCACATATCTGGAAATGTGGTGACAATGCAAATGCCTTCCTGTGCTGGTTCCCAGCCTAGGATAGTATCTGCATGCATTTGAACTGACCTGTCCTTTTGCTTTGATGGCGCAGTAGTACTTGCCTTGTTCTCCATCTTGCAGTGAATTAAAAATAAAAAAATCCTCATTAAAAGGATCCCAAAAGGGCAGCTGTGAACATGCTCTTTACATGAAGGTAAAGGTAAAGGGTAAAGGGACCCCTGACCATTAGGTCCAGTCGTGACCGACTCTGGGGTTGCGGCGCTCATCTCGCTTTATTGGCCGAGGGAGCCGGCGTAAAGCTTCCGGGTCATGTGGCCAGCATGACTAAGCCGCTTCTGGTAAAACCAGAGCCGTTTACCTTCCCGCTGGAGCAGTACCTATTTATCTATTTGCACTTTGATGTGCTTTCGAACTGCTAGGTTGGCAGGAGCAGGGACCGAGCAACGGGAGCTCACCCCGTTGCGGGGATTTGAACTGCCGACCTTCTGATCGGCAAGTCCTAGGCTCTGTGGTTTAACCCACAGCGCCACCTGCGTCCCTTACATGAAGGTACCAGTCCATAAAATGGCATATCAGGAAAAGATGACCATGTGCAGCATAACCAAGGCCACATTAGAATAGAGTGAAAGAAACACGTTAGTCCTAAGGCTTAGAACTCAAAAGGGTGAGCGACTCACAGAGAGGTTGTCCCTCCCCAAAATGATTTCAGATCACTTTTGCACACACCAGAGCAGGTCAACACCACACAGGGTCCAGGGCTGCCTTCACCCAATACACAGTACCTGTTTGGTTTTCCCAACCCTGCAACACCTCCTTGCAAATTCCTATCCTTGCAGGTGCTGTCATCTACACATGCACAATGTCTCAAATGTACACACCTCGGCTTAGCTGCAAAGTGAATGTAGCTTAAGTTTTCCTTCTGGGCTGAAGCTGGTTGGGGGGGAAACACATCCAACAGCAGTATTTCTCAAGAGACGACAGAATGCCGTGGATAAACTTGTGTGTACACAGATTTGAAAACCAGGGGTGGGAGTGCACTGGAGCCAGAGCAAATGGTAATGTCCAGTGGCGTAGCGTGGGGGGTGCAGGGGGGGCCGGCCGCACCGGGCACAATATATGGAGGTTAGGGTTAGGGGGCGCAAATCCACGGGTTAGGGGGCGCAAATCCACGGGTTAGGGGGCGCAAATTACTTGCCTTGCCCAGGTGCTGACAACCCACGTTACGCCACTGGTAATGTCTACACAGCTTCAGTTTCTATCAACACAGAACCAGAGCCAGATGTGAAAACAGACTCCATCTCTAACAAAGACAGAAGCTATATAGCAGGGCAGAGCCACCTAACAGCTTAGGCGACTCTGATTATCAAATACCTTCCGCTTGTTGGACATGCCACCCAAAATGGCAGATGTGTGGCAATTTCTGTCCTCCATTGCACTAATGTCTACGGTGTAGGTAGCCAATGCGATGCTCTCCATATGTTGGGGACTGCAACTCCTATCACCCCTGACCATTAGCTATGGCATTTGGGGATGATGGGAGGTGTACCCCAAAAATATCTGGAACATATGACAGATGTAAGACTACTTTCCACCTGCTGTTGTGTTATCTTGTGAATTTCTCCCCATCCCTAGCAACATGCCATTGGCTGCCAGATCAGGATGGGTAACCTGCAGCCCTCCAGATGTTGTTGGACCACAGCTCCTATCATCACTGACCTATGGCCATGCTGGCTGGGGTGGATGGATGTTAGGAGTCCAGCAGCATGAGGAGGGCCACATGGATTAAAAAAACCTGACCATCTAGATGCCCCTTTCAGTGGGCTCTCCATCTCTTCTATAACCAAAACCTGGCAATGATCAGAATGGAATCATAATGCATTCACTGCTGCTCCCCATGTGAGAGAAAACCCAACATTTTATTGGACATAATTCTTCTCGATTATCCCACTTCTTAAAAAAAAGAAAGAAAAGACACAAACCCAGCTGAGAATCCTTTTGTTTCTATTTGCATTTTTCCCTTTCATTGTCTGATGCTTTATCATTAATACTTGGCACTCCTGGTTACCTATGTTGATTGCTTTTTGTCTCCCTATTATTGGAAATTTTAATTTCCAGTTTTATTTATGGTTTTTAATTTAGTCCTCCATTGTCTGTTTTTGTGCTTGGTGGCTCATGCATATACATGAATTATGCCACAGATTCTATCTAACTTGCCACGTTCAGATTTCTTCAGCATTTTTAGAAGAATTATCTACTCTGCATTGTCCGGACAGCAGCCCTTCTCCCTTGTTCCTCATTTATTTTCCATGAATAGGAGTTTCAGAAAGCTTTTCATGATCATGAATATACAAGCAAGTAATTACTCATATTCTTCATCAAGAACAAAGGATGGCAGATCCTTATAGCTGCTAAAGAGGTTCCTGGAGAGGAGCTGTAATGGTGAACAAAGTTCTTTGAAAGGCAATGCCCTGTCTTGGGACTAGGGAACCTGTGGTCCTCCAGGAGTTGCTGGACTCCAACTCCTACCACTTCTGGCCATTGGCCATGCTGGCTGGGGATGATGGGATAAAAAACATCT